CATGTAGAGCCCTGCAAGTCTGGTGGGTAGGAGCATCCCAACAGTTGGAAGTTCATGGATGGGGTTGAGTTGACAATGCCATTCTTGCCTATTCCAAACCTTCACTGTTAGGGGGGTGACCTTAGATATGCTCCATCACTAGTGATTCCCTTTAAGCGTTTTATATTGTATGATGATATATATGAGATTTTATGAATTTGTTAAATAAACTTTATAATTTTTTAACAAACTACTGTGTTGGGTACGTGCCTCCAGAGTCCATATATTGTCATCTTTCCCCTTTTTTGTCATAGTTTTTGGGACGTGGCACAAGTTCTATATATATATATATATATATATATATATATATCCACGGTGCCACCTGGCAGTTACAAAACATATTACTCATTCTCTATGGTCTTTGCTATAAATAATGATATACAAAGTATATACAGTCATGGCCGAAATTGTTGGCACCCTTGATATTTTTCCTGAAAATCAAGTATTTCACACAAAAAAAGGTATTGCATTAACACATGTTTTGCTATACACATGTTTATTCCCTTTGTATGTATTGGAACAAATATAAAAAACAGAGGCAGAAAAGCAAATATGACATAATGTCACACAAAACCCCAAAAATGGGCTGGACAAAAGTATTGGCACCCTTAACTTAATATTTGGTTGCACACCCTTTGGAAAACATAACTGAAATCAGTCGCTTCCTATAAACCATCATTAAGCTTCTGACACCTCTCACCCGGAATTTTGGACCACTCTTCCTTTGCAAACAGCTCCAGGTCTCTCTTATTGGAAGGACACCTTTTCCCAACAGCAATTTTAAGATCTCTCCACAGGTGTTCAATGGGATTTAGATCTGGGCTCATTGCTGGCCACTTCAGAACTCTCCAGCGCTTCTTTGCCATCCATTTCTGAGTGCTTTTTGACGTATGTTTGGGGTCATTGTCCTGCTGGAAGACCCAGGATCTTGGACGCAAACCCAGCTTTCTGACACTGGGCCCTACAGTGCGACCCAAAATCCTTTGGTAATCCTCAGATTTCATGATGCCTTGCACACAGTCAAGGCACCCAGTGCCAGAGGCAGCAAAACAACCCCAAAACATCATTGAACCTCCACCATATTTTACCGTAGGTACTGTGTTTTGTTCTTTGTAGGCCTCATTCCGTTTTCGGTAAACAGTAGAATGATGTGCTTTACCGAAAAGCTCTATCTTGGTCTCATCTGTCCACAAGACGTTTTCCCAGAAGGCTTTTTGCTTACTCAAGTACATTTTGGCAAACTGTAGTCTTGCTTTTTTATGTCTCTGTGTCAGCAGTGGGGTCCTCCTGGGTCTCCTGCCATAGCGTTTCATTTCATTTAAATGTCGACGGATAGTTCGCGCTGACACTGATGCTCCCTGAGCCTGCAGGACAGCTTGAATGTCTTTGGAACATGTTTGGGGCTGCTTATCCACCATCCGGACTATTCTGCGTTGCAATCTTTCATCAATTTTCCTCATCCGTCCACGACCAGGGAGATTAGCTACAGTGCCATGGGTTGCAAACTTCTTGATAATGTTGCGCACTGTGGACAAAGGCAAATCTAGTTCTCTGGAGATGGACTTGTAACCTTGAGATTGTTGATATTTTGCCACAATTTTGGTTCTCAGGTCCTCAGACAGTTCTCGTCTCCTCTTTCTGTTGTCCATGCTTAGTGTGGCACAGACAGACACACAATGCAAAGGTTAAGTGAACGTCTCTCCTTTTTATCTGCTTTCAGGTGTGATTTCTATATTGCCCACACCTGTTACTTGCCCCAGGTGAGTTTACAGGAGCATCACATGCTTGTAACATTCTTATTTATCCGCAGTTGTGAAAGGGTGCCAATACTTTTGTCCAGCCCATTTTTGGAGGTTTGTGTGACATTATGTCGAATTTGCTTTCTTTCCTCCCTTTTTTTGTTTTGTCCCAATACACACAAAGGGAATAAACATGTGTATAGCAAAACATGTGTTAATGCAATACGTTTCGTGAGAAATACATGATTTCCTGGAGAAATATCAAGGGTGCCAACAATTTCGGCCATGACTGTATATATATATATATATATATATATATATATATATATATACATACATACATACATACAGTGGGGCAAAAAAGTATTTAGTCAGCCACCAATTGTGCAAGTTCTCCCACTTACAAAGATGAGAGAGGCCTGTAATTGGCATCATAGGGAGACCTCAACTATGAGAGACAAAATGAGAAAACAAATCCAGACAATCACATTGGCTGATTTGGAAAGAATTTATTTGCAAATTATGGTGGAAAATAAGTATTTGGTCACCTACAAACAAGCAAGATTTCTGGCTCTCACAGACCTGTACCTTCTTCTTTAAGAGGCTCCTCTGTCCTGCACTCATTACCTGTATCAATGGCACCTGTTTGAACTTGTTATCAGTATAAAAAGACACCTGTCCACAACCTCAAACAGTCACACTCCAAACTCCACTATGGTGAAGACCAAAGAGCTGTCGAAGGACACCAGAAACAAAATTGTAGACCTGCACCAGGCTGGGAAGACTAAATCTGCAATAGGCAAGCAGCTTGGTGTGAACAAATCAACTGTGGGAGCAATAATTAGAAAATGGAAGACATACAAGACCACTGATAATCTCCCTCGATCTGGGGCTCCACGCAAGATCTCACCCCGTGGGGTCAAAATGATCACAAGAACTGTGAACAAAAATCCCAGGACCACATGGGGGGACCTAGTGAATGACCTGCAGAGAGCTGGGACCAACGTAACAAAGGCTACCATCAGTAACATACTACGCCGCCAGGGACTCCGATCCTGCAGTGCCAGACGTGTCCCCCTGCTTAAGCCAGTACATGTCCGGGCCCGTCTGAAGTTTGCTAGAGAGCACTTAGATGATCCAGAAAAGGATTGGGAGAATGTCATATGGTCAGATGAAACCAAAATAGAACTGTTTGGTAGAAACATAACTCGTCGTGTTTGGAGGAGAGAGAGAGAATGCTGAGTTGCATCCAAAGAACACCATACCTACTGTGAAGCATGGGGGTGGCAACATCATGCTTTGGGGCTGTTTCTCCACAAAGGGACCAGGACGACTGATCCATGTACAGGACAGAACGAATGGGGCCATGTATCGTGAGATTTTGAGTGCAAACCTCCTTCCATCAGCAAGGGCATTGAAGATGAAACGTGGCTGGGTCTTCCAACATGACAATGATCCCAAACATACCGCCCGGGCAACGAAGGAGTGGCTTCGTAAGAAGCATTTCAAGGTCCTGGAGTGGCCTAGCCAGTCTCCAGATCTCAACCCCATAGAAAACCTTTGGAGGGAGTTGAAAGTCCATGTTGCCCAGCGACAGCCCCAAAACATCACTGCTCTAGAGGAGATCTGCATGGAGGATGGGCCAACATACCAGCAACAGTGTGTGCCAACCTTGTGAAGACTTCCAGGAAACGTCTGACCTCTGTCATTGCCAACAAAGGATATATAACAAAGTATTGAGATGAACTTTTCATATTCACCAAATACTTATTTTCCACCATAATTTGCAAATAAATTCTTTCCAGATCAGCCAATGGGATTGTCTGGATTTGTTTTCTCATTTTGTCTCTCATAGTTGAGGTCTACCTATGATGCCAATTACAGGCCTCTCTCATCTCTGTAAGTGGGAGAACTTGCACAATTGGTGGCTGACTAAATACTTTTTTGCCCCGCTGTATATATATATATATATATATATATATAGTTTAAATACTAATTTAAAGTTGTAAACAAAAAGTGCCAAAAAATGCTCGGTCTTCAAGTGGTTAAAAGGTCCAGGCAAAGCATTTAATCATTATTTTTATATAAAATGGAGAAGGCTTTTAAAAATAATAATCACCAATTTCTGGCAATCCGGGGGCAAAGAGAACCTCCATCAGCTTCGTCAGGAGCTTCTCTTCATTCTCCTTCTCTTCCTTGGTGATGAGGAGCAGATTGCGAGCGTACTTCCGTATGCCGGGCTGAGAGTGCAGAATCTGTTCCTTCTCCTTCCCGCTGCCGTCTTCCATGTCATCGATTATCACCAGAACATTGAACCTCCCTGAGAGAACAGAAAGATGGCAACACAAATTATTCTGTTTATATATATAAAGGATTATTCTAGACCAGGGGTCTCCAAACTGTGGCCCTCCAGGTGTTGAGGAACTGCAAGTCCCATGAGGCCTTGTAAGACTCTGATGGCTTCAGGCAAAACTCCCAGAGGCAGAGGCATGATGGGACTTGTAGTACTTCAACAGGTGGAGGGCCATAGTTTGGAGACCCCTGTTCTAAACCAAAGAACATAAGGTGTCAAACAGGAGAAAAGGAAAAACAATAATTGGAGAACTATCTTTTTTGTATTATAAAAGCACCATAAGTCTACGCGTTTCAGGCTACATCAGTGCTTAATTGATTATTGATGTAATGCAAAACGCGTAGACTTTTCTCATCCCCCACAGTGTTTTACTGCACCCGTGGGACAAATTGTGTGCAGCACTGTGAGGGCACACCGACCTGGAGCAGCAGCACCATATTTAATAATAGTTGTAGACAATAGCATACAGGAATTATTTGAAAAACAATTATTAAATTATTATACTTATTATTTTGTAAAAAATATTATTGTTATGGCCGCAAGACCATCATGTAGTTAAAAAGTATGAAAACATGATAATGTCTCACATAAACACCAGACACATTGCTTAGTACCTCCTATGCCCCTGAGAACTCTGGGTGCTCTCAGCTCTCATGCAAGCAGTGGGCTGGCTCTTGGGAGGAGTTATGCAAATATCAAAATGCCTTGATGGGCAGGTGTCAGTCTGGAGGAGTGGGTGCTCCTAGGCAGGCTGACATTTTATGCATATCACCCTAGGTAACCCCTACATGTGATGTTGAGTCTCCATAACTGAAATAATTGAAATCCAATGAATGAAATGGGCGGGTCAGGCTGGGGAGGGCTAGGAAAGGGCTGGATGATGTTGGACGTCCTCCGGCCAGGAAAGGAGGCAGAGCTCTTTCTGACTAGCTGCAGCTTCTAATGCACATTGTGAGAAGCTCACAGTGTGTAGTGAAATCAGAGAAAGCCATTTCAGTGCAGGAGAGGAGCCGGTACAAGGGGAGGAGCCTGTGCAAGACTGAATGGAGGGAGCCGTTACACCTGTGCAAGACTGAAGGGGAGGAGCCGGTACACCTGTGCAAGACTGAATGGAGGAGCAAGTACACACTGTGCAAGACTGAAGGGGAGGAGCCGTTACACCTGTGCAAGACTGAAGGGGAGGAGCCAGTACACCTGTACAAGACTGAAGGGGAGGAGCCAGTACACCTGTGCAAGACTGAAGGGGAGGAGCCGTTACACCTGTGCAAGACTGAAGGGGAGGAGCCAGTACACCTGTGCAAGACTGAAGGGGAGGAGCCGGTACACCTGTGCAAGACTGAAGGGGAGGAGCCGTTACACCTGTGCAAGACTGAAGGGGAGGAGCCGGTACACCTGTGCAAGACTGAAGGGGAGGAGCCGGTACACTTGTGTAAGACTGAAGGGGAGCAGCCGGTACACCTGTGCAAGACTGAAGGGGAGGAGTCAGTACACCTGTGCAAGACTGAAGGGGAGGAGCCGATGCACCTGTGCAAGACTGAAGGGGAGGAGTCAGTACACCTGTGCAAGACTGAAGGGGAGGAGCCGTTACACCTGTGCAAGACTGAAGGGGAGGAGCCGATACACCTGTCCAAGACTGAAGGGGAGGAGACAGTTCAACTGTGCAGGACTGAAGGGAGGAGCCGATACACCTGTACAAAACTGAAGGTGGGGGACTGGAGGCCATATTTAATCATAGACAACAAAACACACCTGACTGGACTTAAAAAGTTTAACTTAAAAAAAATGACATGACAAGGAAGATATACCAAGTGTGACTGAGAGATTCTCCATCTCGGCTTCATACTCCTCTACAATGCTGACTGCCCCTTGGCTCTGGCTGTGATAGAGAACACCAAAACTGCAGTCAGCGATCTCCTCCATGCCGTTCTCAGAGATATAGATGGCTGTGACATCATCCACAGAGGCCTGAATTTCGGGGGATTTCAGCAAAGACTCCAGCCAAGTGTAATCAGTTCCTGGACCCCTGGAGAAAATCCCGACAGTTCCGAGTTTCTGCAACAAATTAGAATGAAAAATATTGATTGCAATAACATTTGCAGGGCTGGATCACTGTATAGAAGGTGACAGGGGGTGTCTTGTCAGAGAGTGGAGGAGGAAGTAACACTGAACCAATAAACTCTACACAAGGTTGTCAGAGAGTGGAGGAGGAAGCAGCACTGGATCAATAAACTGTATATAGGGTTGTCAGAGAGTGGAGGAGGAAGCAGCACTGGATCAATAAATTGTATATAGGGTTGTCAGATAGTGGAGGAGGAAGCAGCACTGGATCAATAAACTGTATATAGGGTTGTCAGAGAGTGGAGGAGGAAGCAGCACTGGATCAATAAACTGTATATAGGGTTGTCAGAGAGGGAAGGAGGAAGCAGCACTGGATCAATAAACTGTATATAGGGTTGTCAGAGAGTGGAGGAGGAAGCAGCACTGGATCAATAAATTGTATATAGGGTTGTCAGATAGTGGAGGAGGAAGCAGCACTGGATCAATAAACTGTATATAGGGTTGTCAGAGAGTGGAGGAGGAAGCAGCACTGGATCAATAAACTGTATATAGGGTTGTCAGATAGTGGAGGAGGAAGCAGCACTGGATCAATAAACTGTATATAGGGGTGCCAGATAGTGGAGGAGGAAGCAGCACTGGATCAATAAACTGTATATAGGGTTGTCAGATAGTGGAGGAGGAAGCAGCACTGGATCAATAAACTGTATATAGGGTTGCCAGATAGTGGAGGAGGAAGCAGCACTGGATCAATAAACTGTATATAGGGGTGCCAGATAGTGGAGGAGGAAGCAGCACTGGATCAATAAACTGTATATAGGGTTGTCAGATAGTGGAGGAGGAAGCAGCACTGGATCAATAAACTGTATATATAGGGTTGTCAGATAGTGGAGGAGGAAGCAGCACTGGATCAATAAACTGTATATAGGGTTGTCAGATAGTGGAGGAGGAAGCAGCACTGGATCAATAAACTGTATATAGGGTTGTCAGTGGAGGAGGAAGCAGCACTGGATCAATAAACTGTATATAGGGTTGTCAGTGGAGGAGGAAGCAGCACTGGATCAATAAACTGTATATAGGGTTATCAGTAGAGGAGGAAGCAGCACTGGATCAATAAACTGTATATAGGGTTGTCAGATAGTGGAGGAGGAAGCAGCACTGGATCAATAAATTGTATATAGGGTTGTCAGATAGTGGAGGAGGAAGCAGCACTGGATCAATAAACTGTATATAGGGTTGTCAGATAGTGGAGGAGGAAGCAGCACTGGATCAATAAACTGTATATAGGGTTGCCAGATAGTGGAGGAGGAAGCAGCACTGGATCAATAAACTGTATATAGGGGTGCCAGATAGTGGAGGAGGAAGCAGCACTGGATCAATAAACTGTATATAGGGTTGTCAGATAGTGGAGGAGGAAGCAGCACTGGATCAATAAACTGTATATAGGGCTGTCAGATAGTGGAGGGAGGAAGCAGCACTGGATCAATAAACTGTATATAGGGTTGTCAGTGGAGGAGGAAGCAGCACTGGATCAATAAACTGTATATAGGGTTGTCAGTGGAGGAGGAAGCAGCACTGGATCAATAAACTGTATATAGGGTTGTCAGATAGTGGAGGAGGAAGCAGCACTGGATCAATAAACTGTATATAGGGTTGTCAGATAGTGGAGGAGGAAGCAGCACTGGATCAATAAACTGTATATAGGGTTATCAGTAAAGGAGGAAGCAGAACTGGATCAATAAACTGTATATAGGGTTATCAGTAGAGGAGGAAGCAGCACTGGATCAATAAACTGTATATAGGGTTGCCAGATAGTGGAGGAGGAAGCAGCACTGGATCAATAAACTGTATATAGGGGTGCCAGATAGTGGAGGAGGAAGCAGCACTGGATCAATAAACTGTATATAGGGTTGTCAGATAGTGGAGGAGGAAGCAGCACTGGATCAATAAACTGTATATAGGGTTGCCAGATAGTGGAGGAGGAAGCAGCACTGGATCAATAAACTGTATATAGGGGGTGCCAGATAGTGGAGGAGGAAGCAGCACTGGATCAATAAACTGTATATAGGGTTGTCAATAGTGGAGGAGGAAGCAGCACTGGATCAATAAACTGTATATAGGGTTGTCAGATAGTGGAGGAGGAAGCAGCACTGGATCAATAAACTGTATATAGGGTTGTCAGATAGTGGAGGAGGAAGCAGCACTGGATCAATAAAACTGTATATAGGGTTGTCAGTGGAGGAGGAAGCAGCACTGGATCAATAAACTGTATATAGGGTTGTCAGTGGAGGAGGAAGCAGCACTGGATCAATAAACTGTATATAGGGTTATCAGTAGAGGAGGAAGCAGCACTGGATCAATAAACTGTATATAGGGTTGTCAGATAGTGGAGGAGGAAGCAGCACTGGATCAATAAATTGTATATAGGGTTGTCAGATAGTGGAGGAGGAAGCAGCACTGGATCAATAAAACTGTATATAGGGTTGCCAGATAGTGGAGGAGGAGGAAGCAGCACTGGATCAATAAACTGTATATAGGGGTGCCAGATAGTGGAGGAGGAAGCAGCACTGGATCAATAAACTGTATATAGGGTTGTCAGATAGTGGAGGAGGAAGCAGCACTGGATCAATAAACTGTATATAGGGCTGTCAGATAGTGGAGGAGGAAGCAGCACTGGATCAATAAACTGTATATAGGGTTGTCAGTGGAGGAGGAAGCAGCACTGGATCAATAAACTGTATATAGGGTTGTCAGTGGAGGAGGAAGCAGCACTGGATCAATAAACTGTATATAGGGTTGTCAGATAGTGGAGGGAGGAAGCAGCACTGGATCAATAAACTGTATATAGGGTTGTCAGATAGTGGAGGAGGAAGCAGCACTGGATCAATAAACTGTATATAGGGTTATCAGTAAAGGGGAGGAAGCAGAACTGGATCAATAAACTGTATATAGGGTTATCAGTAGAGGAGGAAGCAGCACTGGATCAGTAAACTGTATATAGGGTTGCCAGATATAGTGGAGGAGGAAGCAGCACTGGATCAATAAACTGTATATAGGTTTGTCAGTGGAGGAGGAAGCAGCACTGGATCAATAAACTGTATATAGGGTTGTCAGATAGTGGAGGAGGAAGCAGCACTGGATCAATAAACTGTATATAGGGTTGCCAGATAGTGGAGGAGGAAGCAGCACTGGATCAATAAACTGTATATAGGGTTGCCAGATAGTGGAGGAGGAAGCAGCACTGGATCAATAAACTGTATATAGGGTTGTCAGTGGAGGAGGAAGCAGCACACTGGATCAATAAACTGTATATAGGGTTGTCAGTGGAGGAGGAAGCAGCACTGGATCAATAAACTGTATATAGGGTTGTCAGATAGTGGAGGAGGAGGAAGCAGCACTGGATCAATAAACTGTATATAGGGTTGTCAGATAGTGGAGGAGGAAGCAGCACTGGATCAATAAACTGTATATAGGGTTGTCAGTGGAGGAGGAAGCAGCACTGGATTAATAAACTGTATATAGGGTTGTCAGATAGTGGAGGAGGAAGCAGCACTGGATCAATAAACTGTATATAGGGTTATCAGTAGAGGAGGAAGCAGCACTGGATCAATAAACTGTATATAGGTTTGTCAGTGGAGGAGGAAGCAGCACTGGATCAATAAACTGTATATAGGGTTGTCAGTGGAGGAGGAAGCAGCACTGGATCAATAAACTGTCTATAGGGTTGTCAGTGGAGGAGGAAGCATAATAACTAAATGTAACATATACAAAACATCTACAACAAACGGCAACAGAAATCTTACCAGTGCCGGCGGAGATGGGAGTTTTACTGAAAAAAACAAACAGAAAGAGAACTGAATAAAGAAAATGTTACATTGTATTCTGAATGTGTGTCTGTGAAATCCTTATGTAACCTCAAATTGACAGAAGAAATGCTGCGACTTTGGAAAAAGGGTCCCTCTGCTACTTTGATGCGATTTGCGGTGTGACTTGGCCCAATAAAATATGGAAAGCCGTATCAAAGTCGCACAATGTGGAAGTCATCAGGTAATCACAGGTGTTCAAAAAATGAGGAAACCTTGAATGTAACAAAGTATTTGCTTGTTATGTACACTGCGCTCCCATTCATGTTTTGTAGAGTCAGACATTTATTACACGCACATCAGAGGGCGCATCTAAGTGCAGCAGCCAATCGTTTATTGAAAAAAAAATAATGTACTG